TCTACATACCAACAAAGCTTCAAGCTGCTGATGTACTCACCAAAGGATTACACAAGCCAGCATTTGATAGTTGTATAAGCAAATTGGACATGATTAGCATCTATGATCCAACTTGAGGGGGAGTGTGGTTGACCTATATTTAATGTAAATATTATTTATTAATAAAGGGGATACTGTGAGGAGTAAAAATAGGGATTTTGTAGATATCCTATTCCCGAATATCCTCTCCTGATTCCATCTCCTGATTTCTTGGAGATTTGATCATCTTCTCACATGTATAAATCAGTGTACATACTCTGGGATTCAATAATAAGAGTTTTTCGGTCTATTTGCTACAGGAAATCCTTTAGTATTGGCAGCAGAGAAGCAGGTGTCTAGCATGAGATTCCTACTTCTGAGATGAGTTCCTTTGTTGAAAAACCTTGTTCCAAGAATTCCTGGCTCGCTTCATTCAAGTACTTATTCTAGTCAACAATTCTCTTCCCTCCACTTCTTAGAATCTCTAAGGCTATCCCATTTTGGGATGTCATAATATGGGATTTTTGAGAGGAGAAATATGATTTTCCATTGATCATAATAGTATGATACAGAAGACTATATATACAAAAAGCCAGGAGATAAGCAAATAAATGGCTAATAAATACTAATAATTCTAATAAATCCTATTAACTCCTAATAATCAGATAATAATATTTACAATAAATACAATATCTCCACGCTTCCCCTCAAGTTGGATCATAAATGTTAATCATGTCTAGCTTGCTTATGCAACTTTCAAATGCGGGCTTACGTAATCCCTTCGTTAAAACATCTGCAGCTGGAAGGTTTGTAGGTAAATAAATCAAACATATGATTCCATCTTTTACTTTTTCTCTGATGAAATGTCTATTCACCTCCACATGTTTTGATTTCTCATGTTGAACAGGACTTAAGGCCATGCTTATAGCTGCCTTATTGTCACAATAAAGTTTTAATGGTGAGTCCATTTTGACATGTATCTCTTCTAGGATTCGTTTCAGCCATAACTCTTCCATTATTCCTTGGGCCAAAGCTCTTAACTCGGACTCAGCACTACTCTTAGAAACAACCTTTTACTTTTGACTCTTCCAGGTAACCAAGTTCCCCCAAACAAAGGAACAATAACCAGAAGTTGATCTTCTATCAGGATGAGTTCCTCCCCAATCTGCATCTATGTAGATCTCTATGGTTCTTTGTTCTTGTTTTTGGAAGAATAACCCTCTACCAACAGTACCCTTTAAATATCTCAAGATCCTATGGACTGCTTTCATATGCTTCTTCGGTTTTAGACATGTATTGGCTAGCCATACTTACTGCAAAGGCAATATCCGATCTTGTATGGGAAAGGTAAATCAACTTCCCAACAAGTCTCTGATATTTCTCTTTATTAGTGGCCTCTTCATTCTCATTGTCTTCTTCTTCAACCTCATCATAAGAATCATCTTCTTTTAACTTTTCCTTATTCTTCTTAGGCTTCTTTTTCTTCGAAACCACAATAGGGGTTTCAGCTAGCCTACAACCTAACATACCTGTTTCCTTCAAAAGATCAAGTATATACTTCCTCTGGATACATAAATACCTTTCCTTGACCTCGCAACTTCCATCCCAAGGAAGTATTTCAAGGCACCAAGGTCTTTTACCTTGAATTCTTTGCCCAGAACAACCTTTACTCTTGTGATTTCCTCAAGATAATCTCCTGTAAGAATAATGTCATCAACATATACAATAAGGATAAACCTTTTACCTCCCTCAATTTTAACAAACATTGTATGGTCTGACAATCCCTGCTTATAGCCTTCTCGCTTGAGGACTTTTGAGAATCTATCAAACCATGCCCTAGGAGACTGCTTTAGGCCATATAAAGATTTCTTCAATCTGCATACTTGATCACCTCTGCCTCTATCAAATCTTGATGGTAGAGTCATGTAAACTTCTTCTTTTAGTTCTCCATTTAGGAAAGCATTCTTGATGTCAAGCCAATGGAGTGGCCATTCTAGGTTAGCTGCTATAGATAAGAGAACTCTAATGGTATTTAATTTTGCCACTGGTGCAAAAGTCTCTTTGTAGTCGATACCATATGTCTAAGTAAACCCTCTTGCTATCAAGCGTGCTTTTAACTTGTCAAGAATTCCATCGGTCTTGTACTTTGGGGTGAAAATCCACTTGCAGCTTACAAACTTCTTGCCACTTGGCCTTTGAACAATCTCCCATGTTCCATTCTTCTTTTTAGGGCTCTCATTTCCTCCATGACTGCATTTCTCCATTCTGGTGTTTCCAATGCCTCTTCAATATTGTTGGGAACAACAACTTGATCTAGACTAGTGACAAAAGCACAATAACTTGGAGAAAGAGCCTTGTAGGATATGTGCTTTGTATTGGGTGCAAAGTACAAGAGCAAGGTTGTTTTCTGAGAGCAATGAGTAAATCAAGATCAGATTGAACACTCACCTATTTAGGACTTTGCTGAGGTGATTCAGGAGCTACCACTGGTTTTGACTCCTTTGGTGATTCAAATACAAGTTGCTCTCCTTCCTTGGATTTATGCTTTTGAGAATAAACCAACAAGTCTTTGTCTTTTTGCCTCTTTATATCTCCCCTTGATATTGAATTATCTTCTATGACTGGCACAAGAGATGTTGATGGTGGTAAGGGTTCGGATGAGAGTGATGGTTCTGGTAATTGAGGTAGGTTGCAGTTAAGATGGCATCCCCCCAATAAAACTTTGGGACATTATAAGTGAACATGAGGGCCTTAACCACTTTAAGAATATGTCTATTTTTCCTTTCTACAATCCCGTTTTGTTGGGGTGTATGGGCACAAGTGCTTCGATGGACAATGCCATGCTTGTGAAGAAAGGTACTCAAGACTTGGTTAAAATATTCAATACCATTGTCGATATGTAGAACTTGGATATTTGTGTTGAATTGGGTTTTTATCATGGTAAAGAAATTGATAAATATGGATGCAGTCTCAGATTTGTCTTTTAGGAGATACACCCAGCAAACACGAGTATGATCATCAATAAAGGTAATGAACCATTTTGATTTGATGCTGTTTAGGATACGAGACGGACCACAGATCACTGTGTGGTAACAAATGGTTTGGTGGGTGTATATGGTGTTCTAGGAAATGATGTTAGTTGTGCTTTGCTAGTTCACACACTTCACATTTGACATCATGGTTGGTAGGGCAAAGGTTTGGGAACAAATGAGATAAATAATTAAAATTAGGATGCCCCATCCTATTGTGCCACAACAGAATATTTGTATCTTTAGAGGTCGATATAGAGTTACATACATTAGTGGCTTGATGGTGACTCACTCTAGCATTCTCAAGGAAGTAGAGTCCCTCTCACTCTTTAGCACTTCCAATTGTCATACCCAATGATAGATCCTAAAAGACATAATGGGTTGGAACAGATTAGCACAATATTTAGATTGCTTTGTTAGTTGGCTAACAGACAGCAAATTGCATGCTAATTTTGGTACATGAAGAACAGATTCTAGAGTGATAGATTCAGAGATACGAATACTCCCTTTCCCCGCAATAGGAGCAAGAGACCCATCTGCAATTTTGACTTTCAAATTTCCAGCACATGGAGTATATGTAGAAAATAATTGGTGGTTATGGGTCATGTGATTCGATGCTCCAGAGTCTATGATCCACATTGTTTGAGCCCTTGACACTTTTAAGGCTTGAAGAAAATTACTTCTTTGTGCCAAGAAGACAAAGACTGACTGTGAAATCTGACTAACACATAGTGCATTCGATTCAACAACTTTTGATGACAGTTTTGCAAGTTTCATCATCCATTGTTGAAAGCTTATGAGCAAAGGGGTACAAATCAGATCAAGAAGACCAAGACATACCACTTCTAGAATTAGAAGCCCTATTTTCCTTAGAAATTTCTAGGTATTTGTGTTGTTTAGGTCCAATTTGTTCTAACAGTATGCACATTCAACGAACAAGGTGAAGGCTTGGAAGACCCATAACAAGAAAATGCTGAGACTAGGTTGGAAATGGTCTATCGTTGCCGAACAAGTCGTCGTTGCTGGAAACAGCTCGCCACGCGCCGCCATGCACTCAGACTCTCCCTTTGACGCAAACTAGATGAGTGGCGCGTGTGACAGCCATGCGTCGTTGACGGACACCAAACTTCGAGGTTGCACTGATCAGAGGTCTCTGGTCCTTCCTTGGTTGGCGGTGAGATCCAACGGCGCCTCTCATCCTCCATTAGGGTTTTGTCTGTCAGTTGTTAGTCTGAAACTATGCTATACGACAGAACAAAAACTAGCTAGGGTTCTGATCTAATGAACTCTGATACCATATGAGATTTTTGAGAGGATAAATATGATTTTCCATTGATCATAATATGAAGACTATATATACACAAAGCTAACACAATAAGAGACAAGAAAATAAATGGCTAATAAATACTAATAATTCTAATAAATCCTATTAACTCCTAATAATTAGATAATAATATTTACAATAAATACAATACCTCCACACATAAACATCCATTTTTAGCCAAAGGCAATGAAAGTGTGTGATACTATAGCGAGCAACAAAGCTCATTTTTGGGAGAATTCAGCTCAAGCGAAACTAAAGTAGAGGGGATCATCTTGCAAGACAGGAATTTGGAGAGGACTGGCCTTTTGAAAAGCGCCCCCCCCCCCCGGGTTCTAGTTTCTTAAGGGTTTTGGCCCTTTTCTTTTCTTTTCTTTTGTTTTTTTTTTTTTTTTTTTTGGGAGGGGGGTGGGTTTCTGATGTTTTATGTCTAAGTGAACATAGCCAGGTCCAAACAGAAAAATGCCAGCATAAAAGTAGCTTTTATCCTATGGTCAGAAATTTTAACTGTAATGTGTTAGTGAAAATGTTCAGAAATGAAATTTCTGCAATATACAAGGAAATGCCCTTCAGTTAGTTATGTTTGTACATTTCCTTTTGGCTTTGATAGAGGACATCCTCTTTTGCTGCAGCTGGTGCCATCGTATGTTTCCAATTCAAGCTACCTGTCGTTTGAATGAAAAGGAACTGCAAGAAGTTGTATCAACACTAGTTAAAAAATTTGTGGCCAATAAACAAAACCATCTTGGACAACCTCTAAAGGTACAATTTTCCTGAATCATGGTTAACCTGCCATATTTGTGTCCTTGCAAAACTAATTTTGGGCCTCTCAAATGTTAAACTGACAAATTCATCATCTCCTGTCTATATGATTCTGGTTTTAATATGAATGGAAAACAATTAATAATTATGATGATTTTTCTCAATTATCACTCTATCTCTCGGCTTAGCCCAACGTTGAATTAAATTTAATTTTGAAAATGCTGTTTCCTGAAATGTTCACTGAATGTTCATCTGTCAGTGACTTTTTTCTGAAGTTTCAATATTCTACTGATATAGTGCCAAACAAAATATGAACTGGAATTATTTTAATGTCTATCTAGAAGTTGATTCTCATTCTGAAAAATGTCACATATTTGATGCTTGTTTAATTTTTCTTATGGAGAAAATCTTATTTCATCCTTTAGTTTGCAG